GTCCTGCACAGCGGGAGGGGAAAAAGGCAGAAACACAGCGGGGCAGCTGCAGCCCTAACGGACTAAACTTCAATCAAACAAGACCTAACACTTTTATTCCTGATTTAATCTAGCGATCTTGTGAGCATCTGCAGCTGTATGCTTTTATTTTTTTATGTCAGGCTGTCGTGGAGCACTCCACCTCCTCTGTCCGAGGCTGGTGTGATGTGAGGCGGACAGCTCAGCCGGCTGCTGGAGCTGGAGCTCAAGGTCCTGACCCAGGGAGCCAACATGAGTCAGTCCCAAACTGAGCTGACTTGATCAAGTCTCTCTCTGCCTCTGGTGAGGAGTGGGGTGAAAAATCCTCCACCTCAGATGTTCAGAGATGCAACTATCTGCGTCGCTGTGGTCACTCTCCATGTAGCATCAATTATGCTAATGCTAGCTGTCACTTTCTCTCGTCCTGGCCACAATTCCTTGTCTCTAACCCCCCTCCCCTACCCACACTCCCACTTTGATACATTTTTCAACTTTCGCCTTGGGGCGGAGTTATCTTTTCACAGGGGGGTAAGATACACTTTAAAGGGTAGACATCATGTGAAATAGCCATTAAATGCATTTTGTTGTGTACTTGGAGTCTGTAAGAGTGCAAAAAATTTGACTCGGTGCTGCAAAGATACTGTATATTTATATTCTCTTTGGGTCATATTTTTCCACMTGTTCAGTTTTCCCTATTTTCTATTCTGTTTTTTGAACTGTTACATTACAGTTTTTGTGAAAGAACTGCCAAGTAAGGTCTGGACTTACCAATCACAATTTCATTGTCTTCATTCTCTTCTGGTTCTGGGTCAGATTCTGGCTCCAACATGTAAGACTGGATGGACAAGTCTTCCCTTGTTGACATATTTTAAATAATTTGTAAATTAAAAAAATCTGCACCGCTTTATAGTCAAAGACCCCTCTATCAAGTTAGAACAGACCGGTCTAGAAGCTGGAAGGGGGTGTGAAGCGCCTCTTTTGTATTTAAAGAGACAACATCAAAATGAGTTAATCTGAGACACAATTTAGAAAAGGGATTAAAGAGGGGCTTGCGGAGTTACAATAATGGCATATTCAAACTAAAGTATTGCAATTCCACTTCATAAAGACCCAAACTGAATAATTGAAATGTGAAAAGGAGGATTTAAAAGCATATGTCCACTTTAAAAGCAGTAGCTTGAATAAGTGTGTGTTAATGACGTGGAGTAACGAGATCAGCACTAACTATAGAGAAATACTGTTGCTGCCCAATAAACTGTAAACATCACATCTAGTTTTGATTTTTACACACCWAGTTCAGAGCATCAAAAATGAAAAAGGTCAAGCTATTATCTATAGATTAGACTGTTGACAAGTTATTGTTTGCTGGTAGGTAATGGATCAGACACCTGAGCCTGCTGAGTTACTGCTGCTGCTAGTTATTACTGTTGACTCATGGGGTGGACTTAAATTTTCCTACGCAGCTTTTCCATTTGCACTTGGCTTTTGTATAACAAGTGATGACATGATGAATTTCAAATGTGTTTTATTCACATCGTAGAAAAAGAGAAAGACCATATTGGTTTTTATTATGTTCTGATATGCAAAACCACTAGAACTGACAAGTAGACTTTTTTTGTACATTACTTTAAGAGCAGTCTGAGACTACATGAACCTCCATCTAAGCTAAATGAAAGGGACTCATTCAGATTTGAATTGACATAAAACATTAAACACCTAATTAACGCTCCAGTTGTCTTGCTGTCCTGCTAACATTTAGAAAACCTTTTTTAAATAAAGTTTGTGGATCACAAATAAATTACATTCTGAGCAAAAACACTGCAGTCTATTGACGGCGTCAAGAGTTCACAGTAAACCCACTCAGATATTTGCAAGATCCTGTTATATGCCTCTGAAATTATTACCTCAGAAACACACGCACAGACACTGTTTATCATGCAGCAAGTCTCAGACTTGAGCTCACTCACCTGCTCCTTTGCAYACAACTCATCCCAAAACGTGGCCTCGAGGTTTACTCTCTGCTTGAAGTGCACAAATGTCCACATGTCTGAGTGGGCTGCGTGAGAGCGCTAACATCCTCTCCATCCTCCCTGCCTCAGCTCTGATCCCCGAGTTAGATGAATGTGGATGTTCCACAGACGGTTATAAAAAAGATAACWATAATAATACGCTATAATGATAATAAAAACCTCACAAATCACTCGGCAAATGGGATACACAGTCCAGTACTGTGTGAAGCAAAAGAATAAGAGGATGCAAGATGGACCCATTTCAATCATTTGTTGTTTGGAAAAGTAAARAATATTTCAAAGTAAGGTGACTAAAAACTGAAAAAAAAAGAAAAGAAAAAGACACAGGACAGTCAAAAACTGGTGTTTGCCAGGTCAACAGTTGGCAACCATTGACAACGTCTTTGAACAAAAGTGAGACTTCCACAATAAAAAGCATGACGCATTTAAAGAAAAGGGCTACAAGGTTTTAACCAACACCAAAACTGTGAAAAAACGGGTTGACAATCCTCCATTACTAAAAAGTATAGATGCCTAAACTAATTAACAGATAACATCAAAGATGATGTTGCAATAACAAAACAAAATGAGTACGTTCTTAAAAAGCCTGATTATCCACTGCAATAATAGGAGGCATTGGTTTAAAAAAAATCAAAGTCCTGTCTGAAGTTCTGTCTGTCGTCTGGCAGATTAAGAAGATCTTTAAAGTGTTGATTATCAGATGGAGCCACCTTTTAACATTTACTCCCTTCATGTGTAGGAGATGTTTATGTGCACCTCGGAAGTGTTTGAGTTTTCAAATGTTAGAGATGATGTCATCAAAACAAAGTTGAAAGCATTCTTGGTTTCATAAAAATAACACCATAACTCAGATAAGGACATAARACATAAAAAAGAAAAAAAAGTGCAGACACTCGATTTGGAATGGAACAAAAAACGAAACTATTCTTTTCATTTTTAAATKATTAAACTAACCTACAGTGACCAACTCAGGCTTTCTTGTGCTGCACTGACTGAGTCAGTACACAACACATGGTGTAGGGTGTGTGTTTGTGAAAAGTCAACTCGACTGTGTGACATCACTCAACATCTTAAGATAACCATGCTTCTTTTTGATAATGACCCGTCCTTCCTGACATTTTTCAAAAGTGAGAGCATACAGCCACTGTGTGTGTATAAGGCACAACCTTCTGTTGTTGCAGCTCAGTGGGCTCGGCATGTGAGCTGTGAGCATTTCCTGGTTTGGGCGTGGTCAGCAAAGTGATACAGATGGTTCTGATTGGCTGAGGAGAATAACACAGAACACCGAGCCTCGCAGTGACCCGTTCTTCACCCGGCATACTCCAAATACCACGGTGCACCTGTGTCTCGGTTTCAGCGTGTGTCTTCATGTTTCTTTGTGCATGCTTGTTTGTTCTACCACATATCGTGGGCACTTACATCAGCTGCTGGGTTGGGCCTTCCTTCCCCTCTTTCATTTTCTGAAGCTCCACGGTGGAATGCTGCAGCTCCTCACTCAGTGCTGTTCACACACAGACACACACACACACACACACACACACACACACACAC